TCTCTCTCTCTCTCTCTCTCTCTCTCTCTCTCTCTCTCTCTCTCTCTCTCTGTCTCTCTCTGTCTCTCTCTCTCTCTCTCTCCAATCATTTCAAAGGGTCTCTGTCACGGCCTACCACTTTCACCTTGTCACGTCCAAAGTAGATGTAAACAAAACACGTAAGATTCTTCATCTTTTGAACTGTAAATTTACTCCATTAGTTGGATCATACTTTCCCACTTCTTTCCCATTTTCTTTGGCATTTTCTCCACTAATCTCCCTCTCTCTCTCTCTCTCTCTCTCTCTCTCTCTCTCTCTCTCTCTCTCTCTCATGTATTGGTAAAAGTCACCCCTTGCTGTTTTTAAGCTTTTTCCCCCTTTCCCATTTTGATGCTGCATAATTTGGATTCCTGAACACAATTCTTCATCTGGGTCGTCCCTCTAATTCGTGTTTAGTCTCTCGATAACATTTTCTCTTGCTTTCTGGAGAATTTCCCTCTGTTTCTTCAGTTAATGTGGAAGTAGATAAGGGAACACTTTGTTTCCACTTAAATTTTCGATCTTTTTCACTCTGGGTTTAGATTCAACGTGATTCTTCATCTGGGTCGATCGGATTTTGCTCTCTTTCTCACATAGAAGTGAGAATTGTGTCTGTTTATGAAGTCTGGGAAGAGAATTCCCAAAAATTGGTCTTTCAGCTTCTCATTTTGGGTTTTCAATTCTAGATTTGGATCCTGAAAAAGTAGTTCCCCCCATCTAATTTGTTCAAAAAATTTTCTTCAACTTGCTTGGATTCGAAAAGTTTTCCTTCATTTTCCCGGGAAATCTCTCTTCTTTCCCATGTAGAAAGAAACAGCTTTTTTTTTTTCTGCAACAGGAAGCGCTAAAGTCAGTAAAAGACGAAGCTTTCGATCTTCATACTTCAGTTCAGATTCTCACCGGCAAATCTCCATCTGGGTTCATCAGAATTCCCTGCCAATCTACTAAATTTTGCCAAATTCCGCAACTTTTTGAGGAAGACGATCATGGATAAGGAAACAGAACAAACCCTAAATATGTTACATTTGGATCAGAGCGATCCCTTTGGCAATGGCAATGACCCAATGATCGGTGATTTCCTCGGAAGATTCTGCAATACGGGAGAAATATCACCATTAACACTACAATCGTTCCCCATGAATTCACAGATCTCCGAGAATTTCCCCATTTGTGGAGGAATCCGATTTCCGTATCAAGGGCACTTCGGATCTGATCGGGCTTTTGGTGTTCCTGGGTCGCAAACAACAGCACAAGAGAGAAACAAGAGCTCGTTGTCGGATCCAGACTCGGGTTCTGCATCTGATCGAGCTCGAGCCACGGCTTCGAATCCCAGGAAGAGAAAATCTGTTCCGACAGCGAATGGCAAGGAATCTCCAGCTTCCTCGTCCCTTACGGCTTCTAATTCCAAGGTTTTGCTATCAAACTCTTCACAGCTCACACTTTATGTATGTTTCATGTGTGCTTATTACATAAACTGCACACTTGCGTATATATACGTTGGCTAAGTATGTATTGGCTCTAGGAATTGGACCCTTTTGAATTCTTGATGAGAATGATGAAAGAATTCAGTTCTGGTTTTGGACAGATATGAACTATGCCCATAAACAGATATGTGTTTCTGTAGGGATAGACATTATTTACTGATGATGACTGGTTGCCTTCGAATGATTTTCAGATTTCAGGAGAGAATGCTGCTGTATCCATGGCTGCCAAAAGAAGCAAGCAGGAGGAAGCTAAGAGTGGTAAAGACGCAAATGAGAAGAACGATAACAAAGACGGGAATAAGGACAATGCAAAACCTCCGGAGCCACCCAAAGATTACATACACGTTCGGGCGAGAAGGGGTCAGGCCACTGATAGTCACAGTCTCGCGGAAAGGGTACCCGAAACCTGGAAACTATTTTCTTTTTTTGCCCTTTTCATTTTGTGAGTATTGCTTTAGGTTTCTCAGGCGGAATTGTATTATTGGTTTTTGTGTGTTTGGGATAGGCAAGAAGGGAAAAGATCAGTGAGAGAATGAAGTTACTTCAGGATATGGTTCCTGGTTGCAACAGAATAACTGGGAAAGCAGTCATGCTTGATGAAATCATAAATTACGTGCAGTCGTTGCAGGGGCAGGTCGAGGTAGGGATCAGTCTACAAAATTATCATCCGTGTCTGAAGTGTTCTTGATCTTGATCTTGACCCCAGTAATTTTTTTTTTGCTACTGATGCTTTGTTTGTGTTCTTTATTCTTCAGTTCTTGTCCATGAAGTTAGCCACTTTGCACCCAAGAATCGAGTTCAATGCAAACACTCTTTTATCCACGGAGGTATTTTTACTTTTACATGTCATTTTCCCCGCAGAAACCATTTTCTAGCTTTGAAATCAGTCTTCTCACTGAAACTCCTGTACCTTCCGTGTGTGTGCGTATATATAGATGTTTCAGCCGAGCGAGCCCTTATTACAGCAGAGTCTCTACCCAATAGCTTGTTCAGAGCCAAGACTTCCATCAGGGTATCTCTCTCTTGGCAAGAACATTCCCGGATTCATAGAGACACAATTCCCATTGAACTCCTCAGGCATTTCATCACTTCCTTCCAGTGATGGATTTCTTCAAGCAGAGGTAAGTAATACAAATTCCGATCATGTAAACTCGGGATTGCATTCAATACATCACTATATTTCTGTGCTCTGAGAGTTACCCTGCAATGGAACACTTTTTCAGGCACCGGCTTTCTGGGAAAACGATCTGCAAAGCATTGTTCAGATGGGTTTTGGAGATAACCAGCGGCAACCGAGCATGAACTGTAAGCAAATCAAATCACTCCGATAACGAGAATCTCTTTGCCGATATGATCTTGCATGCATATCATATCATATCTACTTGATTCTGTTTGGTTCCAGGTTCTGAACCAACTATTCAGATGAAGCTTGAGCCTTAGCTATTCTTTGATGTCTCTGTACATAGAGAGAGCAAGAAATGCAGCATATTCTTCTGGTGTCTGAATTAATGTTACCTCAAGCTTGATTTCTTTTCTTGTTCCTATCTGTTAATTTCCCTTGAAAACATCAAATTCTGTAAAAAGAGAAACAGAACTTGTGTGGACATATCGGTTGTATTTGTGTTACTGAATTGCGTGTAATAGTTAACTTGAAGTAAAGACAGCAAATTTGGTCTCTTTTTCCTGCTATGGACTAAGACCAGAGTTTTAAAAGTCATCTTCACAAGGACCAATGGATTTGCAAAAGATGATGTAAATATGTTTCCTTATTTTTTTTTTCCCAACTGTGCTAAAACAAAATCTGTAATCAACTAAAATGTATAAAAAAGGAATTTAAATTGAAATAAAGAGAGTAAAGTTGTGGGAAAGAGATGTGAGTTGGGCAGTGAGCTGTTTTTGTGGGGACGATCCCAAATTTGTTCAAGTGCCTTTGGAAAAAGTGTGGTAATGATGGGAGTGATGAGTAGAATAACATAATAATCATATGTCCATTTGCATAACTTGAATAAAAAGTCAATATGACAGATTTTGTCTACAAAATCTTTTTCCCTGATCTTTAATCTAAAATGATATCTATATTTTAAATTAAAAAGGATCAATGTAAGAGACATTCTTGCAGATGCAACTTCCAACTCAGTAGAGACATCTAAAAGTTTTTTGTCTTTTGCTTGGATAAGCAAAGCATGACTTCTTTACCATTATTCATGTGAACAAATCTGTTACAGACATCAGAATCAACACAAGGAAATCAAACAAAAGAAAGAACAAGGCAGCAACAAGAAAGGGGTATACTCTATAAACTGTAGAATGGTGTTTTGGAATTTGGACACAAGAAATACATCAAGACAGGTAAAATGACTCATGAAGGTGCAAGCTTTTGGACTATATCACAGAACCAGATGCCCACCTAGACATTCTTTTATACACATTACAGGAAATAGTATGTAGAGATTCGTTTATATGTTGCAGCGATCGTACCCGGAGAACCAAGATGGTTCGGCGAGCTTTCCCAACTCGGATTTTTCCTTGCAAAATGGTTCGAATTCATCTCTCCATCTCTGGTCACCAGTACTTGATGATTGTTCATCATATTTGGTAGTGGCATGATCATTGAAGGAAGCTGGAGATGGTTCTTTAGGCAATTTAGATTCTTTGATGAGTTGGTTGAGAGCGTTGATCTCGTTTTCGTGTTTCCTTTTCAACTTGTCAAGCTGTTTATAAGCTTCTGCAGCTTCGGACTCTGCATCCATTGCCCGTTTCTGTGGTTACAAGCCAGAGAAGTTGAGTCATGCATTGGGAATGATCATAAATGAAAACAGGTGCTGCAAAATTTGAGCTGACTAGTGCAAGAAAAACGATACCTGTGCAGAAGCCAATCCTTCTTCAGCTTCTTTAAGCCGAACAATCAACTCTCCTGCTGCTTGTACAGCCTCAGCTGTATCTCTCAGTTGTGACTGGAGACTCTTGTTCTCGTCCCTGAAGTATTGTCTCTCTTTCTCTCTTTCCACCTTCAATGCTGAAATTTCAGCTGCAAGTGCGTTTATGAATCTAGACTCTGCTCCCTTGATCCCCGCTCTGGCTGCTGCTTTTTTAACATCTTCGATCCCATCTAGAATCTTTCTATGCCTTACAAGCAATTGCATATGCTTCTCCTCCAGGTCTGCGTATTGTTCAAGCATACGTGCATGTCCCTGCATTGCCATCTGCATTGCTTCCTTCAACTCATCTGCACATCTTTTCTCAGTATCGAGTTCATGTTTTTGCTTTTTCATTATCGCTTTGTTGGTTTCGAGCTCAGTTCTTAATTCCTCAGTAAGAGAAATCCACTTGCTCTCTGCCTCAGTCCAACAAACTCTCTCTTCTTCTAGTATTTTCTCAGGACTCTCTTCTGATGGTTCAGCAATAGGATTGAGCGGGGGAGCGTGATTGGAGTCACCACAAGTGTATGTCAACTTGAGGAGTGAACATCTTTTCCAAGCTGATGTCAAAGAAGGGTCAACGTAACATTGTAGCTGCGTCCTTAAATCCTGAATCTCTTCCAACAATACTTCCCTTTCTCCCATGTCACCGTAGAAGTTTTTATAACTTTCCAGCTCTTCTTGAACTCTTTTCAATTCAGTTTTCGTCTGCAACACTTCAGGGTGATTCTCATACACGTCCTTCAAAAGCTGCAAAGTTCTATGTAAGGAGAGCATCTTTTGTAACGAAGGTGATAACCATAAAGATTAATCATAATCAGCAATTACCTTATGCTCATGCATGAGAGATGTGAATTCTTCGTCCAGGAAATCCTCTTTAGATAACACGCCATCCATTAGGCTTTCAAGGCGAACTATTTTGTCCTCCCTTGTTTGTCCTATGATGGCATTGCACTCTCTCTCATGTTTGTATTGTTGCACCTGTTACATGATTTGAATTTAGTTGGGAGATGGTTACAGAGGTTCTCAGGTTATAAGGAAACCGAGAGGGCTAAACAAAAGAAAATAAACAAAGATGATACCAGCCGATTAAGCTGTGATATTTCAGAGGCTTGCTTAGTACAGAATTCTTCCATAGCCATTTCTCTCCTGATAGACCCTGCTAGAACCTTTTCCACTGCCTGTAAGGTGTAGCAAGTTTATATTATACATGGCATAAATATATGAACGCGCCATTAAAGTCTAGAATCTTTACATATAATCCAGATGAAAACCATTGTTCTTACTTTGGGAACTTGGGTCTTGGATTTTTCTGTAGCTTCTGAGTTATCAACAGGCACTAACTGAAGATTTGAAGTCTCGCTAGCTTCTTGGTCATTCAAATGTGCTTTACCCTTGCATTTGCTGCACAGAACTTCTTCTGTGTTCTCCGCTGGTATTACATAAGCTTCAGGGAAGGTTTGGACACCTACATCAGCCTTACTTATTATTGTAGAAGGCTTAGAATCTGGAGCTTTGAAGGAAAACCTAAATGTTGAACGCCTTTGAGCTGTACTCTGGCGATAAGCCTCAAGACGTTCGATGCCTCTGTGGAGACTAGCAGCCAAATGATCTGTTGATACAGGAAAGACTCTACTTTTCTGTGCAGGCAAAGTACTGGATAAGTTTCCCATCTTTGTGGATGTTTCCTGAGATAATTCCAGAGATTCAGTAGCTAACATGTTGTCTCCCTCTGTATCCTTCTGAGAAGCAGTCAACATTGATGATGTCCTCAAGCTTTTCCTGCTGTTTCTAATCCGTGGAGAAACGCTGGGAGTTGGAGATTTTAACACAGTAGAAACATTAGCTTGGTCTATGCTAAGACTAGGTGATGCCAAATTTACTGAGACAGGCCTTGTATCATTTGATCCATCAGCCATCAGCGCATTTTCAGAGACATCAGCTTCCGAAACCAAGCTTGGGCTTGATGCCACATCTTCGCCCTTGTTTGAATAGCTATCTTGCACGACTGCATGAACCTCATCGGTTGTGACAGTGGTGTCTGTAACAATTTTCACATTATCAATGGTCTCTGGCTCATGATTCCCGGTTTGGCAACACACATCCTCCATGGTAACATCTGTATCCACAAGGGGGTGGTCGTCTATGGATTGACAATTAGATGATCTAATGTGAGAGTTGCTGTCCTTTTCATCCTTGAGGGCCACAATCTGTAAGGATGAATTTATTCTCTCTACTCTATTCATGTCATGATTGCTCTGTTCTACAGCTAGTGATGACTGCAAACCGACTTGAGCACAGAGCTTTTCAACAGCCTCCTCATCAATTTCCATCTCAATATCATCGTCACCGTCTCCACGAGGTAAGGATCTTGGGTGACCCAGCCCAAAGCTTCTTAACAAATTCAAACTTCTACGTGCATTCCATGCAGTGGAATATGCTCCATTTGGGTTGGCTGGGTTATTTCCATTTTCCTTCATCCTTTGGAGTTCGTCCTGCTCAATTTAACAATTCAGAAGTCATATTCACATTTATAATTATATCTAACTCTAATGGAATAGGCAAAAGAATGCATACCCTCAGCTGGCGAATCACTTCGCGCAAGAAATTTACATCGTCCTGCATTACTTCATTGACAATTGCTTTATTCTGTATCGCTTTTGCACGTTGAGCAAATCTCAAAGTGCTGAAAGTCTCGCTCCTACAACTGCAGTTTGCGATTTCGTACTTTAGTAAACGTAGAATAAAAAACTGCTGAAAGGGAAATTAGGGGCCTCTGTTACCTTGGTGATGGAGAAATTGCACAGACCATGGCTAGTTTGGCGTTCCCACCAAGAGATTCTTGCAATAAAAACGTCAACCTGGAGTCCCTGTAGGGTATATGCCTTTGTTTTCCTGTTTGAGAAACTTCTGCAAGAATGTTTATCAAGTTCCTGCATATAGAAACCAACTCTAGTTAACACTTGAGTAGTTGCTCTCAGTTTCAGACACTTAGTAGCACCATTTCAACAAAATGTCCAGAAAGTAACACTAGGAGCTTATACTTTCAGTAGCACCGTTTATGCCTATTCCAGATATTATTTTTACAGGAGTCTTAGACTCCGAAACCCAGATAGAACTTCAGAGAAAAGTACTTGAGTAGTTGGATTAACTTATTAGACACAGGTTATATAATATTTCCAGACTGCTCTTAAAATTTATACCTACAATTTTAGATGAAGTGACAAATGCTACAGCATTATATATCCACTGACAGGCTGATAGCAAAAGGCCTTCACATACAGATAGGACTACCTTATACAGAATTTGGACTTTTCTATTAGACTGGTTGTGAAGAAACAAGAATTATGGCAGCTACTTACATTTAGTTTTCAATTCTTGTACCGTTCTCCCTAAATATCAGGCCTATAAGTTCTCAAGCACTAGATTTCTAGTCCAGGCTACAGCATCAATAAACTTCCTACATAAATGAGATGCAAAATTTACCAAAAACGTAAAAGCTGTGAATACAATGCAGAAAAATCTGAGTATATACTTCTTACTCTATGGATTAACATATATACTTCTTACTCCTGAGTATGAATATAATGCAAAAAAATCTGACTCGTACCCAAGTTGAGAGAGTGATCGATTAATATTTCCAGCTTCCTTTAAACGTTCTCCTGCTGCACCAGTTAATTTTTGTCTCTCTGAACCAGCTAGATCAACGAGATTTATTCTACTTGTCTTGAAGCTGCTAAGACCATCTGCAGCACTCTGTTAGGAGGTAAATATAAATGCAGTCAGACATCTCAGCCTCCATGTAGCTATAAATGACGACTTCTAAAATTCCTAGCTTGCTTGAATTAATGGTATGCATATCAGCACCACAATTTATAGTTTTCCCAGACAACTATTCAAGTAAATATGAAGAATTTGAAGCAGGAGAATAACCTACCTTGCAACGGGATTCAACCACACACGTAAATACACAATGCGATCTAGAGCTTTCAGCATTCACACTTGTCGCACCAGTCCTTCTGTTTGCTAAACCCTGCACCAATTTTGAAGGTAAGAACAACAATCAAAGATACATCTGAATAGCATGACTAACCAGTCTATAACAAGATTTGGTATGTTTTATCAGTTAAAAATAGTTCTATATCTGAATAACCTTTTAGCCTTTTGATATTCAATTTGCATAATCTTGTGACAGCGAGAAACATGACTATAAATATGTTCGTCAAGAGCATAAATTCATCATCAAACAGTCAAGAAGTCAAGTAAAGTAGAGCAAATGAGCATGCAAAGTTGAAGAGGAAACCAAGAAATATAACTAACCTTTATCAGAAGCTGTGTCACATCCTTCAAATTTTGCACGTACTCCTCCGTCAGATTCTCGACATAGACACCTGATTTGACATCTTCTCTAATCTGGTGAAATAGCAATTAAGGATAATGAACTGCAAGTCCTTTCTCAAAACATAAATCACATGATAGCTGAAAGTTTCTGTTACCATCAGGTTCTTTTGGATTGGGTCCAGAAGATCTGTTATTTGTTCATTGTAGATCTGCAAAAGGAAATTGGGAAAGAAAAGTATACATCAGGCTTTACAGAATGGCAATCTTAAACACTCCAACTCTAAACTAAGTATTACATCCAGTCAACAAACCTCAAGAAGCGAACAACGACACTGGTAATTGAGTTGCCTTTCAGCATGCTTAACTTGTTCCTGCAAACAAGGAAGGAATTCGCTTAAAAATGTGTCAACTCTTGCACAGGCTGATATCAGATTAAATGATCAAAAGTGAGCAAACAAAGAATCACCTCGTTGATTCGGGCAAACAGTCGTTCAAAGACTCGCGGAGTCAAACCTTTTTGGTCACCTGTAAAATGCTCTTCCAACAACGCATTTGCAGGACCCCACATGGTATAGGTTTTTCCACTCCCAGTCTGGTGGAGTGAGTTTCCACGATACAGTTAATTGCAGAAGTTAAAAACATAATTACACAGTTGGAAAGGTGGAGTTCAAATACCAATGAATACACCAAAAACTACCTGTCCATAGGCAAATACAGAGCTGTTCAATCCAGCCAAACAGTTCTCAACCAAAGGGGCTCCCACGAGCTGAAATATTTCTTCCTGCATAGAACACAAGAAAGATTAAGGGATTAGCAACTGGGTGTTGCAATATAACATGACATAGTGACACCTAGAATCATAAATCAAACGTCTTGCCTGTGTCGACTCTGGATCAGCAACTGAGTCGAAGGTGAAAGTATGCCCATTAACTGTGAGGGTATCATTGGAGCTCTTCTGGACTATCATTTCTTCTTCCTCGCCTTTGGTGGGAGGCTTCATTCTGACTATAACCTACAAATCATGCAACAAGAAAATTGATCAACTAAAGCAGTGACATGTTAAATTCCTGACATATGCTAACAGCAAATAATATTTTAGGCCCTGAGATGATAGAACTCAAACTCGCCTTGGATTCTTAAATGCTGTAAAAGATAATTCCTTTAAAGCAACGCAAACGTAATCAGATTTCAACTGTTCTACAACGCCAAGTAATAGTGTCTTTTCTATCTCGAACTCAGTTGTCAACATCACCTGCACTAGTCTTTTCTTCACCTCTCTTACTGAAGTAATCCTAACTTGGGTCAACCCAGAGGCAAAATCTAATAATTTCAATCATAAAACGAGTAGAATTACTTGGGTAGAATAGCATTTCAGATCTTCTCGAATCTCCATCACATGGCAGCCAAATGAAGCTAAGACCTTCTATAAATAGAAGCTAGAAACTTCATTTCCCTCTAATTATAGAAACAAATGTTAAAATGTGTCTTTGAGCAGGTAAAAAATAACATAAGACATACTAAAGAGACAAGCCTTCTTCGTTTTTCCTAATCGATTATAGAAATTTTGAACTTTATTGGATAAATCCTTTCAATGGGTTTAGGATTTGTTTCCAAATTGCCAAATCTACGAGGAAAAGAACAAAAGTCGAGCTCAAACACTACCTTGACGCCAGAATCAGAAAGCCCAGACATCGCATTTTCTGCTCCTGCCTCCGTGCTTAGTTTGCGTTTGAGAGGATTAGCTGACGGCGGACGCGGCGGCAGCGGACTCTTCAACTTCGCCGCCGGTGACGACCTATGATCGGGCGTCAGCGAGTTCAGATCCGGCGGCGGAGCGTTCTCTTTGGCGGATCTATGCTTGCGCGGTGGCTTCGACTTCGAGCTAGGGTTCGGCGACTGCGCCTCTCCGACATCCCGCAAGGTTGAGTTTCTTGGTAACATGAAGTGCTTCATCTCACCGGATAAATTCCGAGCAGAAATCTCTCCTGGAGAGAAAGAAGACAAGACGAAGAGATGTGCTTCCGCAACTGCGTTCGTGTACGTAACCCTAGCGTTCGTGCAAAGAAGCGAAGAAGGAGAGAGAGAGAGAGAGAGAGAGAGAGAGAGAGAGAGAGAGAGAGCCGTTATGAGGGAGAGATTTGAATTTTTGAGATCATACAAGTCTCACACCACATGGATTATTATTAGTGTTATATTAATATTAAATTTTATTTATTTACAGTTTTTCTTCATCGTGGATCTGAGAGCGACGTTAATGAATCCAACGGCGGAGACGAAAAATGGGCCCACTTTATTATTGTTTTTTTCCTCCTCTCGGGGATTTTCTGGGCGTACTTCTATATGGGCTTTTATTGGGCCGATTTGGATTTGTAAAGAGAAGCCCAATAATAGACGGTTTATAATGAGAAGCCCAGTAAGGCTTTGATTAGGGCATGGTTAGTTAGTTACTTTAAACACTATTTTAATTGTATCAATTTCATATAGTTTTATTCCATTTTGGATTTTCACGTAAATCTATATTATACCATCTGATTTGTTTCCTTTTCTATTCCTTTTGATGGGTTTTTCACAATACCCCTTTTTTCTATTTAAAAAAAAATGCAATGTTTAAAAAATGGAAATTATATATTTTGACCTATTTAATAATATACATTTAACATTATTTCGACCGTATATTTGTAACGCAATAATAATAAAATTGTCATCTTCTCTCTCGGCGTCGCCTTAAAAGAAAAAAGGAAAAAAAAAACGAGACAGATAAGAACTCCCGAGGGTTCTGAGATTTTTTTTTTCTTCAGTTTCGTCACTAAATAAAACCCAAAGAGAAACTCGGGAATTCGACCTCTCGATCCGATCCGATCCGATTCGAAATTCTAGCTTTGATCATCGGCAACAATGGCGGAGATGGCGAATCCAGATCTGGACGGGATCGACGGAGTTCGTATGACGTGGAACGTTTGGCCTCGGACAAAGGTCGAAGCCAGCAAGTGCGTGATCCCACTCGCCGCCTGCATCTCCCCGATCCGGCGACACCCCGACATACCTTCGCTTCCGTACGCTCCGCTCCGTTGCCGTACTTGCTCCGCCGCGCTCAACGCCTTCGCGCGCGTTGATTTCACCGCCAAGATCTGGATCTGTCCCTTCTGCTATCAGCGAAACCATTTCCCTCCTCACTACCACATGATCTCCGAGACCAACCTTCCCGGCGAGCTTTATCCTCAGTACACCACCGTTGAGTACACGCTCCCTTCGCCGGCGTCGGCGGCCGGACAATTCGATCCGAAGACCGGAGCTCCGACACAGGTGGCTTCGTCGGTGTTCGTGTTCGTTCTCGATACTTGTATGATCGAGGAGGAATTGGGTTTCGCCAAATCGGCGCTCAAGCAGGCGATCGGGTTGCTCCCGGAGAATGCATTGGTGGGATTTGTGTCGTTTGGTACTCAAGGCGAGCTTTATCCTCAGTACACCACCGTTGAGTACACGCTCCCTTCGCCGGCGTCGGCGGCCGGACAATTCGATCCGAAGACCGGAGCTCCGACACAGGTGGCTTCGTCGGTGTTCGTGTTCGTTCTCGATACTTGTATGATCGAGGAGGAATTGGGTTTCGCCAAATCGGCGCTCAAGCAGGCGATCGGGTTGCTCCCGGAGAATGCATTGGTGGGATTTGTGTCGTTTGGTACTCAAGCTCATGTGCATGAGCTGGGATTCTCCGAGATGTCTAAGGTTTATGTCTTCAGGGGAAACAAGGAAGTCACCAAGGATCAGATTTTGGATCAGTTAGGGCTTGGAGCTTCTTCGAGGAGAGCTCCTTCTTCTGGGTATCCCAAAGGAATGCAAAACGGATTCCAGAGCTCTGGCGTTAACAGATTCTTGCTCCCTGCCTCTGACTGCGAATTCGCGCTCAATCTGGTATGTTCTGGTTTCACTTTTTTGGTTTTTGGTTGTGGTTGGTGGAATCGTAGAATGTATTCGCTTGTGCATCCATATAATCCTCATTTAACTCTTGTTGATTGTCAAGTATACAAATTTCATCTGATTCCAGTGTTCCACGAATTCTGACATGATTCTGTTACATTCTTGTTGGTGATGTTTGTCTGAAGCTTTTGGACGAGCTCCAATCTGACCAGTGGCCTGTTCAGCCTGGTCATCGTCCTCAGAGATGCACAGGCATAGCATTGAGTGTGGCTGCTGGATTGCTTGGAGCTTGCTTGCCTGGAACTGGTGCGAGAATCGTAGCTTTGGTCGGAGGTCCATGTACAGAAGGCCCTGGAACGGTAAGGCATTGTTGAATGCATTGTCAAGTTTCATCAAACCATTTCTTTGGAGCTTGTCTGAAGTGTTTACGGACAAATTTTCTTTCTTTTTTGCCATCCGCACAGATTGTCTCAAAGGATTTATCAGATCCTGTCCGTTCTCACAAAGATCTAGATAAAGATGCTGCTCCGTATTATAAAAAGGCTGTGAAGTTCTATGATAGTGTTGCGAAGCAGCTGGTGGACCAGGGTCACGTGTTAGACCTTTTTGCTTCTGCACTTGACCAGGTATTACCTTGTCATGCTCATATAATTTGGTGCTCCAGTTCTGGTTTTGTTCTTTGTCTCAAACATGCTGATTAAGTTTCAGTGGGTGTTCTTAACCTGTTTTCTTTGATTTTTCGTCTATATGCTTTAGCTATAATGAATGCATTTTTTTGTTAGTGCCTTGAAAGTGTGGATTTATTTAGCATCCTCGTGATTTCTTATAACTGGATTTAGATATCTAATTATAATTGTCTCCGCTGTTGCATTTTGGATATAGTTAGGTTGGGGTTGCTGAAATGAAAGTTGCAGTTGAACGAACCGGTGGCCTTGTTGTTCTCTCTGAAAGTTTTGGCCATTCTGTATTTAAAGATTCCTTCAAGCGGGTATTTGAAGATGGCGAGCAGTCTCTCGGCCTCTGCTTTAAGTTAGTTCTGGCTCCAATTTCTTTGCAGTAATATCTTATTTTAGTTTAATTTTCATCATAAAGGATACTCAGTTGGCAATTCGATCTTTTATTCCATATATATCTTGGGGACGGTATTCTTTTCACCCTCATTTATTACTGACTGACAGTTATCTCTGATTTTCAGTGGCACCCTTGAGGTCAATTGTTCAAAGGACATCAAAATTCAAGGGGCTATTGGGCCATGCTCATCATTGGAAAAGGTTAAACCTGGAATGCTTGAAAACCTGCTTGTCTTAAGATCTGTATTTAGTGCTATGTAAATGAATGGAGGTATCTCTTCCTAATTGATTTTAATATTGTCATTTGGCTCGAGGCAGAAAGGTCCTAGTGTTGCGGATACAGTCATCGGAGAGGGGAATACTACTGCCTGGAAGTTGTGTGGCCTTGATAAGAGCACTTGCTTAACAATCTTTTTTGATCTGTCTTCAAGTGGGTCAAATGCTCCTGGAGCTGCGAATCCTCAGTTGTATTTGCAGTTCCTCACAAGGTATCGTTGCAGCTTCTCTTTCTCTCTCTCTCTCTCTCTCTCTCTCTCCCTTTTGCTGTCTTCTTTCTTTTTTCTTTTTCTTAAACCATACCTTTCTATATCCATTGTGGAGCGCTGGATTTACTGTAGTGACCTAATTGCAGTTACCAAAACCCTGAAGGCCAAACACTGCTTCGGGTTACAACTGTGACCCGACAGTGGGTAGACACTGCTCTGAGCTCAGAGGTTAGCCCTGGTCTTCTCATTTTCTTTCTGCCTAACTCACAGATTCATGTCAATATCTGATGAGCAATTGATAGTTTTTCAGCACTTTATATGTGCTCCCTAAACACGTAACATCAAAATTTGATCAATCAACCTTTCTTGTGCCCTGCTCTTTTAGCTTTTCACTATATAAAGAACACTAGGATTATTGGAAAAGCTTATGATAAGCTTTGGTTTCGGATAGATCATACTGCTGATTTTGATTGCTTGGATAAATTTGTGTCCCTTAGGAATCATATTGGCATGTTTGGATGCATATGGTTTTTTTTTTTTTTGTACTCTTCCAAAATAACTTTTTTGCCCATAAAGTGTAAACTAATCTCAGTTTCCATGTTAGTGTCGGGGTTATTATTTGGTTTGGTTGGCTTTAGTTGCATGATTTTGGCATTTGTTTCTTTTAATGTAGTGGTATTAGTAATGTTTTTGGGGTTACTTATGTGTAACAGAAAGCTTACCATCAAGCTAATATTTTACAACTATGGTAATTTTGTACATTTTCAGGAGCTTGTACAAGGCTTTGATCAAGAAACCGCTGCTGTCGTAATGGCAAGATTAGCTTCCTTGAAAATGGAGACAGAGGTATGTTTCCACTTTCTTATTGCCTAAAATCAGTGGATTTGAAGTTGTTTCTTGTTCTCAGGCATAAATTCTCAGTGCTGCATATGACTTCATATAACATGTGTTTCCAGTTGTTAATGGAAAGAGGGTGATGGGAATCTAATTTCTTCCTCGGAAATTTTTTTACTGTCTTTTCAACATCTGGTCATACTTTACCAGGATTTTGGCGGCCCTTTTTATATTTAGCTTTCATGTCTATACACCTAGCATATGTTAGCTGTCTGAATTTCATAGTGCAGCATTCTCTCGCTGTCGAGCCGTTTACAATAAGCCATACCCTTTTATCTGCTAATGTGATCTAGTTGACTCATGAAAACGGTCTATCATGTTTTGGCTCAGGAGGGATTTGATGCTACACGATGGCTAGATCGGAATCTGATTCGTGTTTGCTCTAAGTTTGGTGACTATAGAAAGGATGATCCGACGTCATTCACGCTAAATCCGTACTTTTCCTTGTTCCCTCAGTTCATGTTTAATTTGCGGAGATCACAATTTGTTCAGGTAACCTATTGTTTTTAGATCTATTGTTGTTTTTGTTCATGTAATTTATCTAGATTCTAGGCAGTAGAATCACCTTTTTTTTTTTTTGGTCTTGCTGTTTTGTAGGTCTTTAACAATAGTCCAGATGAAACTGCCTACTTCTGCATGTTGTTAAATCGGGAAAATATTCCAAATGCAGCTGTCATGATTCAACCATCATTGTCATCATATTCTTTCAATTCCCCACCTCAACCGGCTTTGCTGGATGTGGCTTCCATTGCTGCTGATCGTATTCTTTTATTAGATTCTTATTTTAGTGTTGTTGTCTTCCATGGAATGACTATAGCTCAGTGGCGAAACATGGGCTACCAGCTTCAGCCTGAACACGCGGTATGTATACTCTGAAGTTATAATTGATTATTTATTTGTGAAAGCATTTTGAAAGTTTCAGATTATCACGCAATCATGGTTTGGATGCTAGATAGCAGGTTAAACTAAACACCCGATGAAAGTACTTCTATAAAGTTGTTTGCTTGATTGCAATTCTCCTTCTTTTTTTTTTTAATTTAGGTGTAGAGTTACTGTCACTTAGGTGCAAACGTAATGTTCCCTTGAGCAGTTTGGTTGGTGAAATGACATTTGATTGGGGAATTGGAATTTAGTAGGGAAACCAAATCCAGACATGTAATCTAGGGCCATAGTCTTTTTTGAGTTGGATCCTTTTGGATTATGTGAAATCTATATGATATCTTCTTATTGGTAATGTCATCATTTTTTAAATTGCTGATGACTGAAACTATAATAACCTGTGTCAGGCCTTTGCTCAACTATTGCAAGCTCCTCAAGAGGATGCCCAGATGGTAGTCCGGGACCGCTTCCCAGTCCCGAGATTAGTAGTCTGTGATCAGCATGGGTCTCAGGTCAGCATCTCGTTCTTATCTATTTATCGTTACTCTTGCATTTGAATTGACTTCAACTGTAGAGCTTCTGGTCTATTCTTTGAAATCAGTACCCGAGATGAAAAATTATTCGTTAGTGATCCCCATATCTGGAACAAAATATATATGATTTTTAGGCCTGCTTTATAACTTGACATCGACTTATGCTACTGATGGACTGATGAATGCGCATAAGACATTCGTGTAAGCGGGTTTTTATCATATGGTTCATGCATATCCTGAGCTTTTCGGTCCATTAACGCACATCTCAGGAGAACTTAAACTCTTATAATTCATACGTGTATCCTGAAACTTTACACGTTGATGCAGGCGAGGTTTTTATTGGCGAAGCTGAACCCATCAGCAACGTACAATAACGCGAACGAGATGGCAGCCGGGTCAGACATAATCTTCACGGACGATGTGAGCCTGCAAGTGTTCTTCGAGCACCTTCAGAAGCTGGCCGTGCAATCTTGAGAAACCGAAGCAGAAACCCGAGAAAGTAGTTCCAGGTGCTTTACACATGGGGAAAAGCCCCTCCATATCATAAATTATCGTGTACCATTTCGGGTTTTTCTTTGTCTTCTTATGTTCTTCCATCTCCATCCATGCGGAAGAGGGCAGTACCTTTTCTTGAATCTTCCCGTTGTTTCTTTCTTTTGATGGTCATATAGGCCATCTTCAGACAGTAATCATATGATGTTTCAGACCATAGGAGATGAGGATGAGTGACTTTTTTGGGGATTTTTTTTTTTTTTTTTTTTGTATCTGCATAGTTGAATTGGAGCTATTTGCAATTTTGTACGATCATTTATTGGCTTATTTTCTCCGTTTCTTTTGAGAATCAAAATTCTACATTGGAAACTAATGTACTCTTCGTGCTAGTTTTGGCTGTGTAATGTAATGATCTTCTGCAGGATATATGTGAGCAGTTTTGTTCTGATCTGTTTGTGACTGAAAAAACAAGCAGGCGTAGTGGCTGGGGAAAAACGACACGCAGTTTTTCTTTTCGGAAGGGAAACGGCATGTAGTTCAGCTATCGTGATCACTTGAATGGGCTTTCAAGCCTCGGCCCAGTTAACAGTACCCCTAATTATTATTATTTTCATATAAAAGGAAAAATAAACGGAAACAAAAAAAAATTACATTCAAATCTCCCGGCAAAATTCAAATCTCTCTCTCACTGAGACAATGTTCTTCGCAGGCTCGCAGGAACAATTCTCCGATCATCTGCTCCACGACGCATCACCAGATCCGATTCCTCCTCCAGCGCCGTCGTGCTCGAAGGGCCACCGATCCACGCTCTGTCTCCGCACTCACCACGGCGGCACACTCTGTCTCCTCTGCTTCTCCGATCTCGTCTCCGATCCGCGCGCTCCCACCGTCCATGTATCCTACGCGCTCTCTCAGCTCTCTCTTGCACTCTCCGAGCCTCTCTTCCTCCGAGGTCTGCTCTCTTCCCACGCCCACTTCCTCGTCTCCCCTCTCGTCCATGCACTCTCATCCTTCGAAGACGCTCCCATCGCCAACCAGGTTGTCGACATCGTCCGTGTTCTCTGTTCAGCGGAGATATCTTCCTTCGGTGGAGATTTTCTTGGGAGGGTCGCGGATCAGCTCTCTTCTGGTGCCTTGGCTTGGAGCCGAAGACAGCTTCACATGGTACAGATTGGTTTTTGGTCTTTAGAAATTGTTGAGTTTTTTTATCTGTGAAATCTTTGATGGATGATTCATGGTGTTCATGATTAAGGAAATTCTCAGAAACCAGGAATATGTATGCTTCCATAACTAGACCAAAATCTTAGGGTATTATCTTGCCTTAATTTCAAAAACGAAGTAGCATATATTCTTTTGGGGTTTTCTGAGAGCCCTGTGTAGAACTTCAAATTGACTGGTGAAGAGAAATGAAACGTTGTAGATATAAAGGGAAATGATACTTGGGAATTGGAAAAGGTACAGATGCATTTTCCATACATTATCAAGAAGAATCCTTACTTTGATGCCATGTCTTTTGAATTGTGTTGCAGCTCCACTGCTTTGGGGTTTTGATGAACTGTAAGAATATAGACATCTATGCCCAACTCAGAGGAAAATTTTCCCTTGCGTCCCAACTTGTCGAAGGTCTTCAGTTGCCGAGGTGAAAGACAAACCCACTTGGTTTACACTGTTTTATCTGCTGCTTTCTGCAAATGCCTGTCATAATTTGGTTCCTTTATTCTCGTACCAGCGAGGAGATCCGTGGAGAGATCCTTTTTGTGTTGTACAAATTGGCGGCTTTGCAGTTCTTGCAAGAAGATGCTGATGGAGCCGATGTTATTTCTTCACTCTGCCCTAAGCTCTTATATCTATCCTTGGAAGCTCTTGCAAAGACACAGAGGGATGATGTCCGTTTGAATTGTGTAGGTTTGTCTCAGTTTTAGCTATTTATTTCAGAATTTTTCTCACTGAATTTTTTCCCCAAATATCCGGTGAGTCCTATTGGTCTAACTCGCATGGTGGTTAGCTTATAATAGTTAATTGGAGAAGCTTTAGTTTATATGTGCATGGTAGTTTCTTGCATGACATAGGTAGTAATTGGGAGCTTTCAATCTAAAATGCTGTGTGATTCTATTGCAAAGCAATATACGGCAAAAAGTCATGGTTTTCCAAATGGTTACTTTCTAGACATCTTTGTTAAGATGTATCAAACTAAAATCGATTTTCTCCTTTGTAGCCCTTTTGACCATCATGGCTCAGCTAGGTCTTTTTGCAAATTCACATGCGTATTCCAGCAACAGCTCAGGTGAAGGGGATGACCCTATGCAGACAGCAGACACTGTAACTGAAGGGCCTCGTCTAGATGTCTTATTTGCTGAGGCTATTAAAGGCCCATTGCTTTCAACAGATAGTCAGGTGCAAATAAGCACGCTTGATCTTATCTTCCACTATGTATCTCAGGAGAGTATGCCGAACAAACAGATTCAACTTCTGGTGGAAGAAAATATTGCTGATTATGTGTTTGAGATATTGAGATTAACAGGTAAAGAAACTCTTCTTGAATAGGAGAATAACATGCCACCGCTCTCCTAGCGGAAGCACCAGACATTTATACTACATGATGATTGTTCAGGAGCTTAAAAGTGAAGTAACTTCCTGGCTTTAAGTATCACGCTCATATGTCTGAAATGATCTATTTACTCTCACTTGTTGCTATAATGACCTGATGATTTTAAATAAATGTAAATACCTTGTCATTTTGCCTTGCTTTTCATCCCTCCCACTTTTTGCACCTCTTCTTTCTCTCTTCTTAGGAGCTCACACTGGCACAAGTTTTGATAGACATGCTTCCGTGTTATGTATTTCATCCATTTGACTGACAACTGCTTTATATGGACAGAGTGCAAGGACCCAGTCGTCAACTCATGCCTCCGAATTCTTGATCTTTTTTACCTTTCCGAGCATGTCTTTCGGCAGAGACTGGTTGTTGGATTTCCTTCAGTTTTACAGGTGTTTCATTATGTAGCCAGTGTTCCTTTCCACCCTTTTCAAGTTCAAACACTGAAGCTCATTTGGAGCAGTGTTTCTGATTTTCCTGGGATTGCATCAAGTTCTCAAGTTAAGGATATTGTTCTTCTTTTGTCACGGATGCTCGAAAGATATTACTCTCAGGAGATGGGTTTACTTCCAGATGCATTTAAAATAATCTGCTCCATCCTTGTCGCGCTAGTGAGAACACCATCTTTTGCAGAGATTTCAGATGTGGTAACATGTTTGCAAGAATCTCTGAGACATGCCGTTTGGGCTTGTCTTGGTCTTCCTGAGAAAGATTCAACCCAGATCTTGCATGCAGTCTACTTACTCAGTGAAGTACATGCTTATTGTTCCGAATCCTCATCCATAAGCAAGCTAAATTGTACTGAATTAAGACGCTGCATAATAGATGTGTGTACATCACATCTACTACCTTGGTTTCTCACTGCTGTCCACGAGATCAAGGAGGAAGCAACTCTTGGCATAATGGAGACTTTTCATTCTATTCTGCTTCAGTATTTTGATATCCAAGTCGTGGAGTTTGCAAATGCACTTGTTTCAGCAGCTTGGTTCAGCTTTTCATTCGGTTGTCTAGGATACTTCTCTACAGACCATATGAGACAGAGGGTATATCTGATGCTCAGTTCACTTGTCGATATCCTTCTCGGAGATAAAATGGGGCAACCTATTAGAGATGCTGCTCCTTGTCTGCCGCCTGATCCAAAAGATTTGCTGTTTCTGCTAGGGCAAGATAGTTCCAACAATCCAGAGTTGTCTACCTGCCAACCTGCTGTTCTGCTCATTTTCCACACCAGTTCACTCCACAATGACAGGTGGCTAAGCTATTGATTCTTGCTCGTCTTTTGTTGGCTTATGAAGATTTGTTACTCACTTCCTTCTTATCTCTCTATGTTCTTTCACACATTTTGCAGGCTTGCAGATGATAAGCTAGTTTTAGCGGCATTGGAACAATATATTCTTGTAAACAGGACAAGTTACATATGTGAGCTATCTGATTCTCTAGCTATGCTCCATCTTGTGAATCTATATGGCATTTGCAGGAGTCGTCAGCGTGAGAGTTACCAGATATCCTACAGTCTAGAAGCCGAGAGGATAATCTTCCATCTACTAAATGAAAGTAATTGGGATTTGTGCTCATGTGATATTCATCTAATATCATTCAAGTGGCTCTTTCAACAGGAAAATATCACCAAGGGCTTAACTCACCAAATCCGGAATATCTCCCAGAAATTGGTTGGAAATGAACTGCATAATGTCCATGGGCAGAGATCATTCGTACGTGACTTTGCGGAATTGGTTTCAGAAGGAGATAACTATGGAGCAACTCTTTTGGTTCACTTGTTGGCACAACATGCAGGGAAGGAAGATCAAGAAAATGGCCTTATACCGATTTTAAATCTCATGATAGCTGTCATTTGTATAGCTCCAACTTCTTCAGACCAGTTGTCATTGCAAGGCGTTGGCAGCGCAATTCAGAGACTCTTCTGTGGTTCAACCAACTCATCCTCGGGAAAGACTTTCACAACTCTCCTACTGTTAATGTTCAACATTTTAGCTTCTGTGCAACCTGAAGTGCTGAGAAATGATGAATCATGGTTTGCTTTAACTATAAAGGTTAGGCCATCTCAAGTTAATCTTTGCCATGATTGACCGCTTAATTACTCAAAATACTCATCGAATCTTCTTTGTTCTGCAGTTATTGAACTACTTCAGCATGCAAGGCACTGTCTTAACCCAAAATCATGAAACTTTAATAATGGTTGGCATTCTTTGCTTGGTTTTGAACCATTCCTCAAGCGGAGCACTCTTGGAAGCTTCCAAAAGCATAGTCTTGAGCCCAGTCTTGGCATCCAAAATGCACACTGTGGTCGATGCAGCTTGCTCAAAGGGTCCAGCTTTGGGCGAAAATTATCATGGAACTGACATTGGAAACAGTCTAGCATTTGTGTTGCTTCTTTCCTTCTTCACTATGAAAAGGTAGTTCCATCAGTTGTTCACTCTTATATCCTGATTCCAAACGTCTGACTTCCATTTCGCCATAGCTTGCAGGCAGTTTTACCCGCCGAAGCTGTGGACTGGCAAAATTTCTTTGGCCCATCAGAAAACCGGGAATCACTTCCTGTAATCGGCGTATATTGTCATGATTTGTGCCGTCTGATGCATTTTGGATCTCCTGTAATCAAACTCATCGCCTCATATTGCCTTCTCGAGTTGTTTACTGAACTCTCGGAGCATATCACAGCTGAAAACGAGCGCTTAAGATGCTCCTTGAGCTACATAAAATCAGTGAAGGCTGTGTTAGTCGGTCTGATATTCTACGAAGATATAAGAGTTGCGATAAACTCTGCTCTCTGCTTATCCATAATCTTGGGATTGGAAGACATGGAAATGGAAGAAAGAGGAGAGACACTTACTACTAGCTCATGGTACAGGTTGATTGCCGAAAAAATGTCAGTGTACTTGGCCGTGCCTTGTTTGCCGTCAAAGGTTTTTATTACCCATCACAAGCCGGCGATCTATGTGACCGTTGCTCTGCTAAAACTCAGAAACAAGCCGGGATGGCTAAGAAATGTCCTTGACGAGTCATGCGTGTCCAGAATGATTCAAAACCTCACCCCGACCAACATCAGCAGTGAGATAGTGCTTTTGTTTCGAGAATTTCGGCGGTCTCAGTACTTGAACACTGAGCAAATCGCCATGTTGAACCACATATTCCTGGTAAGATACTATGATTACTGAACCAACAATCGAGATGGGTTTCGATTTAAATGCATCGTTCTATATCTTGGCTGTTCATATTGAACCTACAGGCAAGCAGAAAACAAATGCACAGGTCAGAAACTCAAAACGAGACCGTTGAAGAACGAGCAGAAGGGACAATATGTTCAGTTGAAGATCATGGAGAAATCTGCAATTACCTCATTGGTTTGATGATATCAGAGTCACTTGGACACACTAATCCAAATGGATCTCATAGCCAAAAGAATCGGCTTTCAGATGAAATCGAGCAGTTTTTTAAATCTGTCACGAACGGGAGCGAACGATAATACCGTTTCTCGTACAGTTTGATCATCTCCCCTGCGACGATAGGGAGTATCGGCCTCAACCTTCTACTCAGGAGCACTGCAACATCAAATCTTTATCGAGGTACAAATACCATATTCACATTCCTTTGAGTTCTAGCCCTTTAGCAAAGAATAGCATATGAAATACAATAGGCCTCCAAGTGTCTATGGAGATAAGCCAGAACCAACTGCAATAGTTTGAAATATCAGGAATAGGACATACATTTTTTGGGACAAGGTTGCGATTTCGCTTTTTCGTAGGATGATTTGAACTAAAGATGGTTGCCCTTTAGTCCATTAAAAGCTACGGTTGCAGTTTCAATCAACGAAATTCTATCTCTGAAGCAGGCTGGGCCACAAATAGATGAATCTGATTCATAAGACAGCATCATCAGTCCTCAGACCAGACCAGTTCCACTTCTTCAGTTAGGCGGATATCCTCTTCATGTCAAGGCGAATCAAGGGGCGTTATAGTTGGAAAAACGCTACAATGAGGTAACATTTTTTGCCCAAGTTTTCCGATGCTTAACCACAACTTCCATTATGTACTGGTAAGTCCACGACTTCGATTCCTTTGCCGCGGGATCGAAGCATCGAAACACCTCCTCGCAGCTCCCGAGAAACTCCCCCTTCCCGAATGCAGCGAGAACCAATGGGTCGGTGTTCATTTCCGCCGGCCTATCGAGAAACCCCATTTCTTTCCAAGTCATGAAAACTCCAGTACCATCAAACCCTTCCAGGGTCAAATCGAAGATAATCCCTATGGTGACCAGATCCGGCTTCACATTCCGTGTCCGTATCTCCGAAAGAAACGACTTTACGAGCTTGAAATTACCGATCTTCGAGTATGCAAGCAGGACAATGTTGGCGAAATTCGTGTTCCAACGAACATTAGCTTCTTCCATATCTCGCATAATGGAATCTAACCCTTTCTGACTCACAAGACATGCATGGCTAAGTAGCCGGAGACACCATCCAAGGTCGGTCCAACACGTTCTAGAAGATAGACCGTGTCCTAAATCCTCGAGCCTCGAGAACATGAGGTTATCAATGTAAATATTCGCTAATTTCCTAACCAAATCCTCGTCGAGCGAAATCCCAAACATATATATCTTTCTATATACATCCTCCATCTTCCGTAACACCCGAAACTCTGCATAAGCATCGAGCATTGCGATCAAAGTGGAAGGCTCTACAGTCATCCTCCTCGACATCAAGACTCGATATATTCTCTCCATCCTCTTTAGCAACCCTCCCCGAGAAAACTCCCGTACGAGCAAATTGTAAGTGACCTGGTCAGGAAAACAACCGTCGGATTCCATTTTCTTCAGACACGTAACGATTTCATCGTACATATTGTATTTCCCGTACGCTTCAATCAGTCCATCATATGTCTCGGTAACAGGTAACAGACCATTTTCTCTCATCTGGTTCATGTAAAACATCGCATCCTCAAACTTGCCATCGTATGCGAAACCACGAATGATCGAGTTGTAGGTTTTCAACGATGGGCTGACCCCGTAATCGTTCATATCGCGGACCGCCCGAATGGCTTCGTCCATCATACTTTCCTTACACAACAAACATATAATCCTCTCGTAATTGGATTCGCTTATCCGGGATCTTTCAATATCTTTCCACGCATCGAAAACCTGCAATCACAAGAATGATACAAATCAGAGATCATAAAATTATGCAATGAAGCAAACATGGCAATAACATACAGCCAATGGCTCTCAAGAACAAGAACATACATACCAACCACTTCATTACAGTTTTCTCTTACAAGAACCACTTACATCTAAATGTATAGATATATATATCTATATACGCATGTATACATATACATGAAGAGCCAGACTAAACACAGAGGAATGATGCTTCAACCAGGGGAATCATAGATTCAAGGGAAATATACATCCGTGTATATACATGTGTGTGTGTGTGTAGAGGCAAGAAATTTACAGGAAGAATTTCATGGAATCTGGAGGAGTGATGGAGAAAACGGACGATTGCCCAGAAATGGTCTTTGGACCAATCTCCATCCTCCTGAAGCAGCCGGAGAGGGCACGACCCACGGCGGCAGAGTCGCCGGAGCAAGGAGCTGAGATACCGGTGCTCATGGTAGCTCTCCACTAGCATCGTCGTATGCTTCGCCGGAGACGTCGCCTCGGCGGCGGATGACGGCGGAATGCAGCGGAGGATATCGGGGTTTAGGGTTTTGGAGGAGGAGAAGGAAAAGGTTTTGTTGGGTTTCCATGGCGGACGCTGTTGTAATGTCGCGAAGTGGATGAACTGAAACTGTGACGTTAGATTCTCCATCTAGGTTCTGCCTGAGCCTGAACTAGGGTGGCTTATTCGTTAACAAAATAATCAAATTCGCCACCCAAATTCATTCCATATAAAAAAAATATGGTCACCGTTTTCATTGACAAAATTGAATTCAAAATGACAAAATCAATAAAAAAAATATTGAAAAACTAAAAATTATTTAAAAAATAAATATTTTTCTCCAAACAAAACCGAATCCGGATCACATAAAACAAAAAACGGACCCAATTAAAACTAAATGATGTAAAAACCAAATTATCATCATTTTCATAAAACAAATCATTAAAATCAAAACGAATAAAAAATAATAGAAAACCCAAAAATTATTTTAAAAAATAAATATTTTTATCTATAAAACCAAAACCAAACCTAATTCAAATAGAACAAAACCAAATCGAATTCAATATAAAAATCAATCCATTAAATTTTTTAAATCAAAATTTCCGAACCGAATTAAAACGGAAAAAAGACGAAAACACGACCCCCACAAGGACTATATAATATATATTGCATAATGTCTAATAATAAATCTACTGGCAAGTTGCTACTACTAAACCAGAGATTTCAACCGAATGCTGCATCATCATCACATCCATCTACCATTACACATATAAGATCTTCGTATGGAGATGTAACATAAAAACCGCTTAGTTAACAGAAGAGCAGCAAACAAACGGCACCCAGAACGGTCTGCTCTTCGTCTTCCTCTCCTCTCTCTTCACGTCCGCCGCCGGATATCTGGCCGGCGTTTTCCACTCCTCACTCACTTCTCCTTTCGCCGGAAAACAGGATTCCGGTGGACTTTCCGGTCCGAGTATTGAACTGACCCTCGGGATCGAATCTGAACCGTTGATGTTCTTGTTATCCATGGCGGCCGCCACCTCTGGCTGTGGTGGTGATCTTGCTTCGCTCAGGAGGTTCTTCAGTGGAACATGCTGTTGCTGCTGTTGATTCTCCATGATCTCAGACAGAACAGCAGCATCAGATAATGTTGGCTGAGACCGGTTTTCTTCCGGTTTTCTGGTTTCACTCTCTACTTCTGTTTCATGATATACTTGTCAGCCTTTGAGTACTCATCATCATCAGAAAAATCAACTAAGTTCTAAAATGATTTACCACAATATCCTCATAATATCGATGTATTCTTACCAGTAGGCACAAATGCATATCGTTTTCCAGCGTCCTTTACGCAAGGTCCATCAATGGAAGCCTTCATACCGCCTTTCTTAAGCTCTGTATTGACAGAAACAAGAGCCAAAACTCAGAGTATGATGTGAAGAAGAATCCATTTCTTTTATCAGAAGATGAATATTTCAAGATCGAGATGTACCTGAAACATGTGTGTCTGATGCATCAGAAGTAGTTTTGGTAGCCACTAAACTCGGAACCAGAGATCTTATGTGTGCTTCTGACAGATTCTTCAACCGACCAAAACCTCGGTGGTCGTTTGATTCAACTGCCACAGGTACCTCTGCAAAGTCCTCTCGGGTTTTGTCGTTACTCTCAATCTCATTTCCTTGAATAACTCCAAGACCGCCCAAAACTTTATAAAAATCTGTCCTTTTGCTTCCGGGTGACTTCAGATCATATGTTTTAACAGCATCAGAGGCAGCCATTGTTGATCTAGAGTGACTGATATCATCATCTTCCCGAGTATTTGTTATCTCGACATGAATGTTTTCCTCCGAAATCCCTCTGTCACTTTCAGTTTGAGCTTCATTGTTTCTTACACAAACTTCTGCATCGTTGTCTTTGCATGTTTCGCTTGAACCTATCCGTTGAGAACTGATATCATTTCCCTCGTTTATCATCTTGATGTTACTGTCTCCAGCTTCATCATCATTTGCCTGAATCAATTCACTTTCATGGCTTGCAACTGTGTGGATTATATTAGCTGTATGGCCCGAACCAATAATCGGTTCAGTGTCAGAAGGTGATTCGGTTGCCTCGAGATCTCGGGCTTCAATCTTGATATCTTCGGAGACAATCATAGGCTCTTCAGGTTGGTTACCCTCCGAGTTCTCGATCTTAGATACCACTAAGTCCTCGTGCTCTTTAACGGGCAATTCTTCCTCAACCAAAACCGAATCATCTTGCTCTTTGATACCCTCCGAGTTCTCGATCTTAGATACCACTAAGTCCTCATGCTCTTTAACGGGCAATTCTTCCTCAACCAAAACCGAATCTTGATCTTGTCTTCCATTTTTGTTCTCCAGGAGAAGCACATCTGTGAAAGGAACCTCCTTTTCGATGTTTAATTGTTCAGACTGAATTCCCGAACACTCTGCAAGCTCGACTGTGTCAGTTTCATATTCTTCTTCCTTAGTTGTCTCAGCATTCTCCACAAAAGGTATATCATCATGATCAGAAATCATCACGTTATCGTCTTTATCTGCCGTTATTGCGTGGCCATGCTCCGGTGTACCAACCAGAATGTTCTCAATGCCGGTGCATTCATCTTCAGTAGAGTCTACGATCGCAGAGTTTTCTAAAACAAGTTCATCGGGACCTTCCACCTCCGAGTAAATCACATCATCGTTCCACATGGTACCTGAAGCATCATCGCCTCCTTTTCCAACCAAAGATGCTAAGTCAGACTCAGAGGGCGAACCATCTCGTAAGTTTCCTTCAGAGAACTCACTCCCGTTTCCGTTTTCGCCAATGACCTGATCCACTTGTGAACGGCAGATCTTTGTATTGGATTCTTCAGCAGAACTTTTATGATCCCGTTGATCAGACAAAGCTGTTTCATCTGAGCTCAGGACAGGATCTCGGATCTCAAGCACTTCTGCAGATGGAGGAGATTCACCGCTGTCTGAAACTCCCGATTTTCTCATTTCACTGACAGTTGGTGAACTCTTGCTCTGTCGAATTTCGTCTGAGCCAGCTTCATATTCATTGTTTATAAAATCTGCACAAAAGGCCATCATACCCAACACATAAACATATGGAACTAAACTCAAAATTTCGATAATCAAATGGCTCGGCTCGTAAGATAAGCATTTGGCATCTGCATTTTTAGAGGGAAATAGCTATTCAATGAACACCCGAGTCGAGCTATTCCCGAACAGAGGCACTTTACCGGGACTTTTGTCAATCTTCTCGACGTCCATTGTGAACTGATCTTCTCGCCCGGAAGGACTTCCGGAAAATTCACAAACAGCATCTTCGAATTCATCCAGTTCAGATCTATTGGAAATAGCTCCAATTCCACCGATTTTCGCCTCCACGAGTTTTGGACCTTACTCCATTAGTAAACAGACAACATCATCAAGAAACAGAACTCAACACCCCACAAGATCACACTTTCAGAATCAGTTCAGCAAAATACATGAACAAAACCAACATTAAACTACAACCATCACGATAAACATAGATTGGATCATATACACATATACATATACAAACACACACATATATATATATATATATGTATATTCAGAGATTGTGCACTTACTGTTCTCATCATCAAAACCAGGAACAGGGTCGGCGTTTTCGGAATCAAAGAGCTCATATCCTTTGATGGATCCACAAATCTTCTTGTGAGCACGCCGGTGCTTGGCACTTGGATGTGGATTTGGGTATTGCCACCCACATTTGTTGCAGACATGGACACTTTGGCCTTCACTTCCTTCGTAGCATTCAACAGGAAACATACACACACGCATATATCCAGTGAGAGTGAGTCCAAAAATTCACATGAGAGACCAAGAAAGAGCAAACCCATATAATCTTTATTCATCATTCATCAAACAATGCCCAATGGATTACAAATTCAGTGAGGGTAAAAGCCCACAAATTCACATGAGAAACCAAGAAATAGCAAACCCATATAACCTTTCTTCATCATTCTCATCAACAATGCCCAAAATGGGTTCCAGAAATTAAACAAATCATCAAAAAAAGACAAAAAGACAAGTTGCTTAGGAAGTTGAAAAGTGGATCTAAAGACAGACAAATAGAGACCCCCCAGATACCAAACTATCATTGAGACAACAATGGATAAAGAATTTCTTGGACTTTAACAAAAAAAAAAGACATAAAAGCAGAAATGACAAACTCAAACTCAAACTCAAACTCGGCAGAAATATATATTAAAAAAAATCCAGAAGGAAAATCCAAACCATAAGAAATGAAGCAAGACATGAAGAGAAGAAGAAAAAGGGCAAAAACAAAAAAAAAAATTATAGCAAACTCAATGTTGTGAGACTAAAACAGGAGAAACCCAGAAATTTTCCCGGCTGCTACAACAACATTTGTCTGAAAAACTGCCAAAAAAATTCGAACAAGAGAAGATAGAAGACAAAGATGCCAACTTTAGAACAACTTTAGAACCCTAAAAACACATTATTGCAAAAAAAAAAATAAACAAATCCCCATGAAAGAGACGAACCTGGTGAATGGTTCTTTCTCTGATCTCTGGCCTCCATGGGAATGTTGCTCGAGTGAGAGAAAAGCAAAGGAAGAAGACTCAGACGAAATGTGAGCAAAAGACTAAATTGGAGAAAGGAGCAAATCGAGTTTGGAAAACGGAGAAGCGAAGGAAACCCTGCATTGAAACCAACCCCCAAAAACTCCAAACGGCGGTTTCAATTATTACAGGCCTATATCTGCGGGGCCCACATACCGTATAAATGTACGGAGTCACCAAAGGAAAATATGATTGCAAATCTGTTCGTAAAAAATCCTATATACGCCATGTGCAGTGCAATGATTGGTAAACCGTCACATTGGTATATCTTCTAATCATGGGATTTGTGGAAATAATCTTGTCCTTGATTCGGGGATTTTGATTTTGGATGATTGATTGCTTCCATCCACCTTAAATTACTCCTCAATCTCTTTGCATCTTCCTGAATTTTATAATTAGTAATGTTCTTTGTTACAAAAAAAAAATGTGTGTATATATACACACACACGGTAATGGAAGATTTGAAATTGTCAGACGAAAATCAACAGGAATGAAAATCCAAAGGGTTACAATGTACATATCTAGGGGAACTAAATATCCACTTCCAAGATGCTTTCGGTTCATTGTCTTTAACCACACTGTGTTGTGTCTCAACGACCCAAGTCAAAAAGCTTCTCTTTTTTTTTTACAAGTTCCATTCGCACGTGAACTTACAGGAGAAAACCCAGAAAACACAGAGAGAGAGAGAGAGAGAGAGAGAGAGAGAGAGAGAGAGAGAGAGAGAGATTTTAACCTGGGAAATGATGGTCTCACAGGGCTGTGACAAAAGCTTCCTCAAACAAAAATCACAGCGAAAGTCTGTTCTTTCCTTTTTTTTTTTCTCAACAACGAGAGTGAAATTCTTCCACGACAAGAACTTGAGAGAAAAAACGAAACGAAGACAGAAGTTTGTCCGTACCCACACACACCAATTCTTGACGCAGTCAAAGCGCAAAGTATGAAGATAATTCATAAAGCTTACACCTTTTTATTTCACGAAAAAAAAAAAGTTTACACCTTTTCTTTTCATTCATTGTATAAACAAGAAGAGTGTGTAAACACATTTGAAAATCACTTGGATTTGCTTATCAACATCTATGATCCATCTTTTTTTTTTCAGTACATTCATATCCTTTTTGCAAAGAATAATATATACTGCATATATACGTGCAAAGCTTTTTTTGAAGCGCTCCTCCAAGATCCATTCATCACTTTCTTGAGGGATTTTCACAGAGAGGATGTGCGTAAAATATCCAATGTGAAGCTTTAATCCGACATTATATTATATGTGTCTTAATGGAAGTATATATATATATATATATATATCCAATCTCACTTACAGTGTTTTATGACATAAAAGTTCAAACTTTTTCTTGTACCTGTGATCAGAGCCTTCCTGTCTTTTTCCCCATTCCTTCACCAAAAGACTCCAGATCCCTCACCCAAACTTTTCTAATTCTAACCGGTGAAATGGGCGCAAAAAGATTGTTTCGCTCCAAATTTGGAAGAGGTGGTGTATATTCCAAATCATATCACGAGCACGACCTCGAGATTAGTCTGAATCTCGGTGTATCATACTCGATTACCGGAACAAAAAAGTCCAGATTGCCTCTGAGATTCCTTCTATCGTGAAACCATTAAAGGTGCTGTTAATATCTCGCACCAGCCTCCGTACAGAAAGAATCGTTCTCCAAAAAGCAAAACAAAGGGTCTGAAGGAGAAGCTTCTTGCCTGCAAGAACTCCATAAAAGAATGGTTCTTTCTTCAATAACGTCTCAGTGTCTATAAACTGGTTTCAACCTCGACTACTACTGGTTCCAGATTCAACTTCCCATTCAAAGGAAAGCGCCCAAAAGAAAATTTCCATGCAGAAACCCTAGACCCAAACAATGGTGACAAAAGCTGAAATCCCTGAGCTGCAGGTTTATAAAATTTCCAAAACAAAAAAACCCGTCTCGTGTTTAGGAAAGTTTCCGATCTTCGTCGGCTCCAGTTCAAGATTCCGATTCTTGTTATCCTTCCTTCCCTCCAATTCCTTGCGAAGCAAGCAATTCTATTTCCAAGAAAAAAGGAAAGAAAAAACTGTAAATCCTTCTCCACTCATACTTGTGAGTTGTGACGCAAGAATGGAAACAACGCAAAAGTCCCTTTAACCGAAAACTATTCCAAATTCCTAAACCAAGTCGATATTAAAGATTCTTTCATTACTCTATAAAAACAGGTCTTTCGCACAAAGACTTCAGACAACGAACAAGAAACTCAGTAGGCTTAAGACCAATCTCTCTCAGCTCTCGATCGAAATCTTATTATACAGCAATGGCGACGAAACCTTCTCTGAGCGCCAGAGGGTGTGGCTTCTTCGGATCGTCACGGACCAATAACTTCTGCAAGCCGTCTTAGAGCAGGTACAAGTGAGCATTTGCACAGGCCCCACATCTTAGATGGGGCCCACATTTTTTTAAAATTTTTTTATATTTATAATTTACAAGTGATATTTATTAAAAATTTAAAATAGCAAATTATTTAAGTTTTATTTAATTCACTTAAAAAAATAATTTTGACACTTTTTCAAATGAGGTGGACCCTTATTTTTAAAAAATAAGTTTTTTTTATAAATTTATAGTATAAAATTAAAACTTTTTTTTTTCCAACATTGATCATTTGTCATAATAATCAATTAATAAATATTTTTAGTTATATATAATCACCATATATTAAATTCATAATTTATTTATATTTATATCATTAAATTTATTAATTAATATAGTTTATAATTATAATTTTTTTATAAATCTAAAATAAAATCTATATTATTTTAGAATAACATTGATCTTTTAACTCTAATTATTAAAAATTATTTTTTTATATCATATCATTCATTTTAAATATTTGTTTTAAAAAATGATAAATCTTTAAAATATAGTTTTTTACATATTTTAATCATATATTATGATTATTTATTATTTCTAATAATATTATTATTCTCACTTATTGTTATTAATATTTTAATAATATTTATAAAAAAATATATTTAATTTTTTTAAATTAAAATTAAAATAAATAATTTTTTTCTGTATAGGACCCCGAAAATATTTGGGACGACTAGAAGTTCAAAGTGCTTCAACGACTTTCTCAGGGAAGAGTCCGCGGAAATCTTGACCGCTTTGGCCGGAACTCCGGCGACATCCGGAGAGAATAGTAGGGAGGCGGCGGCGACAACGCGTGTCGGCAAGAGCAGATGCCACGTGTGCAAGGGGAAGGTGGGGCTACTAGGGTTCGAGTGCAGATGCGGCCACGTGTTCTGTGGGACCCACCGCTACGCGGAGGAGCATTCTTGTCCGTCGGATTATAGATCGGCGGCGAGAGATGCCTTGGCCAAGAACAATCCTCTCATCAAGGCTGATAAACTGTACAAAATTTAGACTATATACGTTTAATTTATCACGTACGTTGGTTAACATGTATTACATTAACGCTTTGCACCATTCGTCTATTCTAAGATTTTTTTTTAAACTTTTAATTAAAAAAGAAAAAGAAAATTGGCCTTGGGTACGAAATAATACAAGACAAACCTTTTTGAGCGATTAATTTGCTTCATATATATTTTATCGCAATTAAACATTTATCAAGATGTTATAAACAAATAACCAAAGTGCTTTGAGATATATTTAATTAAAGGTAACATATTTTATGATAAAAGTACAAAAACAAAATCAATATATCAATATATATATATATATATATTGATCAATGTAATAACATCCTCCCTTCACTCTCTCCTTTGCAATTACAATAACTTTTTTTTTTCTGTGAAAGGAATGTCTTGATTTTTTTTTTAATGAGTTGTCTCAGTTAGTCACATCCTCAAACATTTTTTTTTTCTTCTTATATTTTGTTTTTGCAATGAATTTTTCAAAGGTTGAACCCCACAAATACCCAATACCTTCTTTGATAAGAAAGAGAAACTATAGACCCTCTCCATGTTGTATTGGTGATCCTACCTTTATTGTTTCCTATTCAACTGCAACATACTTTTATTTCATTTCTTGTGTTATTATAAAAAAAAATCAATTAATTAATGCAAGAAAATCAATATAAACGAGTAAAAAGGTGAATGAAATGGATTTTGGATATCGATCATATGATGTAGGCCCAACTCAATGTAGAAATTAATTTGTACAATAGATGCTCCTAATTTATGTGAAAGGAGCATTTTTATTCGTTGCATATATATGCATATATATATATATATATATCCTAAAGAATTCTTTCGAATAAATTGATAAATGAACAATTATATCGAGTTAGCTGTCTTAACGTATCCAAAGCTTGTGGCTCGAGACCAAACAGTGATATGTCGGTCCATCATCAACAGTAACAGATATTTTTTTTGGGGGGATCGGGAGCTTGTCGTCCCCTCAACTCCAAGTTAGTCATTATCTAGACACGTGGCACCACGTAAGTGTGGTATAGGTCGTCGTCAAGATCCCCGTTTCAAAGTCCACGCGTTCAATTTTGACGATTTGTATACAATTTTTCTCTAATTCAATTTTATATCCCTCGTTTTATTGTTTCTAAATCCTAAACCCTAAACTTCAATCTCTAATTTTAAACCCTGAACCCTAACATCAAGACATAATTTTAAGTTGTAAATTCTAAACCCTAAAATTTATATATATGATTAGCGATTTAGAGTTTGAAATTAGTTTCAATTTTAGAAATTATGGTTTAGTTTAGAATTAAAGACTTCAAAATTTAAAATTTAGTTTTTAAGAATAGAGATAAATTAGAAACAATAAAATGAGAAGAAAAACAGATAATTAAATAATTACCATTGGACCCAATTAGATGAGTAAGCTGATATTTGTTTTAAAAAGTTTAGGAGTTTTATTACGCATTTCTCTAATTGGATATATTATAACATATTCTAGTTGCAGGAAAACATCACAAGACAACATTGGCAATAAAAAAAAAGTTAGTGATTTATTCATTAATTTAACTCAACTGGTAAATTATTTTATTTATAAGGAAAATATATATTATCCAGATTATCTATAAATTGATTGCAAGTAGTTGCATATTTTCATACGACGTAACGTTAATGACTTGACCATTCATTATATTGCTATTTGTGACGAATATGCATTATTCGAAAAAAATTATAGCTGATTAATGTATACCCTTTTTATATTGAAATTTCTATATGGAATGTCGTATTAAATCAATTTTATTTGATGTAAAATATTCGATAGTTCCGTTTCGGCTTTGATGTAAATATACAACATGTAGCTTCACTAGTTGAATCAACTGATTTGAATTTTATAAGAAAAATTTCTATCGAAAAATTGTTGATTTAATAACACAGAAAGTTGTATTTATTCACTCAATTTTTTTTTATTATGATCCGATTTGAAAATGGGGCGATCCAAAAACAAAATAAAAACGTATGTAATGTAACCTATACGTACAAAAAGTTAAGCTCTAGTTTGATTCACTTTTCTAGATTATTTTATATCTATTTTATATAAATATCGTCTAATTTCTTCGGATATCTTCATAATTTTTAATAAATACTCTATACACCATCAAATTATTTCTCGTTAAAACTCTATTGAAGTTAGATGATAGAAATCAAAGATAAATTTAATTTTTTTCTTAAAAAATTATGTGAAATTTAAAACGATATCTATTATATAACAAAAAAAAAATGTTTTCTAAAACGTCATCTATTTAAAAATAGAGAGATTAATATGCTAGATTTTGTTTAGTTTGTTAATTATGGAGACATGCTAGATTTTGCAAGATTTTGCGATGTAAGTTGATAAGATGGGAAACATGAATACGCCGTGTCTCTGTGTAAGAATCTTGCCTTAATTATTACATAATACAAGATCCTTCGAGATCTTATCCGCTTCACCACAAAACACGATTATATGTCTATATATTAGATTGAAAGGCTTTGAGATAAGGCGTTAGGGTCCTCTTCTTTCCACAGCAAAAAAAAAAATGACATGATTAGACATTTGGACGTCGACATGCAAAATCAAATAATAAGAAGAAAAAAAAACCCTTCAATTTACATGATAATATTACGTGGAATTATTTATATATATATGTGTGTGTGTGTGTGTGTGTGTGTGTATACACACACACATTGGCGAAAACAAGAGAGATTGGGCCATTATTGATGAAAAGCTAATGAGATGAACAACACTTGTGGTGAAGATTAGAGTTCCTTTTTTAAAATTTTTTTTAAAAAAAAAACAGATTGGAAGACAGATGAAACCGGTGTCTTTGTCCTTTGGAACAGACATATGTAGGGCTAATGATGCCAATAACTATAGTTCAAGATAAGGGTCTTTTTCTTTTACTTTTATGAATCGCTTCTATTTCTAGTTTTAATTCGCTTATATATATATATATATATTGCTATCATTATATGTTGGTGAAATGAAATTAACACAGATTCAAATATGTTTGGTCGAGGCTAAACTAGTTTGGATGTTTTAGTCATTAGCAATGATGAAAGAAGAAAACATTAATTGAACTAGTAGATATTAATTTCTTCTGCGTATATGTAAGAAGGGATATTGAATTATATACAAGTTAAGTGTATAGTTTTCTCATGATGAAGTGGCCATATATATAACCGTAGAGGGTGTTATTTACGGATTATATATATATATATTGCAATTCAATTTTGGTATTCTTTGGAGATCATTAAAATTTTCATATATTAAAAATTGAAACACAAATGGTATATTTGATAACAGTTATAAGAAATGAGAATTTTGATTTTTGCTTTAGTTTTTTATTTTTGGTTTTTGACTTTTTGTAATATTTGTAAATTAAAAAAATAGAGTTTTTTTGTTTTAAATTGAAACACAAAATCTTGATTGTCAATTTTTATTGGGTTTTCGAATTTCAATTTTTTTCAAAATTTCATCCAATCGACCCCAATAATCAATTAGAAAAGATGATATTCTTGTAATTAAATTTCTCTTAAAAAACATAAATGTGGAAATATTTTTCATGTTTTGACAACCGAACTGCAACGTAAAGTAGAGAAATGACAAGTTAGTGGAGGAGGACAAAGTGGTCGAAAACGTCACCCCGAAGAAGAAAACCAACGCATGGCAACGTGTGATTTTGAGAAATATTTAAGGGTTTCATCGCATCGGGCACGTGAAGTTGCATCGCACTTCAACGTACAAGTGGACCCTCCGACATATGACCAGCTATTTTAATCTCCCCCTCCACGCACCATCTATACGTGTATATATATATATATGCTCCATCTTTCTATATATAAGCACACAGATAGTCAATCATTAAGCTATCATCCAATACGATATACATTAAGAAATATATATAAATGTATATTAGCAATTTCCATGCAGGATTCCGACAGGAGTTTATGGTGTTTATAGGCACTGTGTGTGTGTGTGTGTGTAGGAGGGTGAACTGAAGTGTACATACGTGTGTTGTCGGCGTCTCTCTCTCTCTGTTCGTAACGTACGTGCGGGTCTTTACGTGTTTGTATGTGTGCGTGTAAAGGCGGGGAATGTATATGCATATGTAATTATGTGTGTATATATATATGTGTATCTCCGGGATTCTTGGGACTTATGAGGCAGTTAATGGAGAGCATGAAGGAGAGAGCGGAGAAGTTGAAGAGATCAGTGAGACAACAGAGAGCAAAGCTTTACATTATGAGAGTCTGCATCACAATGCTCCTCTGTTGGGATGATAATGGTGAATCTTGAATTTCATTTTTTTTTTCTTTTTGGATCTTGAAAATATATTTTGGGTTCCGGGTTCTTGTTAGAATTTGTAATGAATAATCTTCTTCTCCTTCTTCTTGAAGGTTTAGCTCTGCCGGTGACAAAATCAACGTGTATTAATAGATATGTATACATATATATGTATTATGTATATGCACACACAACCATATACGAAAGGACTGTATTAATAGTTATATATATATATATATATATATATATATATCTTATAGGCATGGTAACTCGATGCTAATAATTACGGACTTCGAGGAAATATCTACCTTTAGGTCGAGGTTGAAAAGCACATGAAAGTCTCTCTCTCTCTCTCTCTCTCTCTCTCTCTCTCTCTCTCCATGAATTTCCTCATCGAACTGTTGCCTTTTTCCATTCGCTATAAATAATTTCGACTGATGTTTCTAATGGGAATCCGAAATTCTGCGTTTCTAAAATAAAAGATCCATGACAAAAAAAATTCCTTTATTTTTTATATATATATATATATATATATATTAGAGTGGATGCCATGCCATTGCCATGTAACGTTCTGATTAGAACGAATGTTCATTAAAAGCATATCATAAAAGGAGACTTACATGATAACTCAACTACGTACATGCACGAATATGCATTACAGCTATTGTTATATATATATATATATGTATGTATAATCATATTAATAATATAATTTAAAAAAACCAAACCCACCAAATAGAACCTCGACCCAACAAGCTAATTAGCTTTTGTCCTTTCCATTCACCACGACACGAAATAAATAAGTGGTGACACAAACCAAACTTGCCCGAGATTCATAAATGTATATACCTTTTATTCACATTTATATGTTTAATTATTCCCGTCGATTCTATATAATTCGATGCGCAAATTTCATTTCTCCCTCTCTTCAGAAATATTAATTCGGCTACATGAAATATTATGAATTATTTTATGCATTAAAACATTTATAACTACATTCCATTCATGGAGATCTATATCCTTTCCTAAAATTTTAACACACTTTTATTTTTTGCAAAAATAGATGAGTGTAACTCCAAGCCATAAAAAAAAACACATCTGATAATAAATTGCAACATATATTCTTAAGTTCATTTTATATTATTTATAACTGGCAAAATACTTCACTAACATTCATAATTAACACGAGAGATTAACCAAATTCTATCATTAATATAGGATATCCACCAAAACAACCGTTTAGGGTCTTAATGACAATACATAGATGAATTAGGATACCAAATTTGCAAAAAAGTCACGGTTAGATAAATTGAAAATACTATATTTTATAGTGTTAAATAATATTTCGATTTAAATTGAATAGGCGCCATATTTTTAAAATCTGAGACAAGACTTCCCAAAGTACAAATTTGTTCTTCTGTATCAAGGAATTCACATGGTATAATCGTATATTCGAAGATGCTACCTTATTATATAAAATAAAAAATAAAATAGGAACACAAATCAATGAAAGACTAAATAGATAAGAACAAAACCCAAGGGACCAAAATATGGATAACCATAAGATATCATAATAATAATAATAATTGGATTTGAACTGTTTGACATATGAAACCAAATTCATTTCCAAATTTTTTTCTCAAGCTTAGAGATTATAGAGGTCGAATGAGTTAATATAATAATACATATACAATCACGTATGAGAGATTTTTTCTTTGGGCAGTTAGGGAATTTGAGAAATTGAAGAGAGAGAGAGAGAGAGAGAGAGAGGGAGGGAGACAAGAGAAGTGAGGCTGTCTTGTCATATTCAAGTACAGTGGGAACCCACACTTGTCAACCTCCACACTCTTCTTCTTCTATATAATGTGCTTCATTTCACTCTCTCTATCATCACGCCCTCAAACATAAAAAGATCACATTCACACACACTCACACACACACACACATATATATATAGTTTCTTTGTTCAAGAATCTCGGGGTTAGGGTTCTGTCCTCCGGCGAGAAAATGGTCGGAAAACAACGGAGTTCGATTGGGTTTTCGAAGGTCCGGTCACGGAGTTGGTGTCCGAAGACGGTGAAGGAGCAAAGAACTCGTTTGTACATTATTTGGAGGTGCACCATTTTTCTCTTGCGTTGGGATGACTAAACTTTCAATGGAGATCCAAAAAAAAAATGAGAATTTTATTATGTTCATATAATTTTGTATTATTGTATATAATATCATGAAATAGATGTGGTATAGTTTTAGCTATATATATGTGTGTGTGTGTGATATTAGCATAATTGGATATTCTCAAGTGGGCTTGTTAAGATACAAGAGTTTTTACTTGACATTATTGTTAGAGTCCTAACAAATCTTGATTTGTCTTTATCAACCTATTAAATAATATTTTTTTTCTCTAAATAATATATATATATAGTATTTTTTATTTCTCTAATACATAATACCAAAACTCTCTTTACTTTTCTACATTTAACTCATACCATACCTTTTTAATCTATTTTTTTTATGACCAATACATGGTCACACGAACGGATTATATAATTTTAACAGTGTGATTAATATGATCATTATATAATTTTAACGATATGATTAGTGTGATCCTTAAATAGATTACGATGATCATACGAAAAAAATGACGTAGAAAAATATCTTAAAATACAAGTAAATGTATTTTTGATAATTCCCATATAATAACAATATATATATATATATATATATATACATCTTGATTTCGAAAAAAAAACTAATACCAGAAGATATTCATACTGTAAGATTTTCTTTTCACAGCGTCTTGAAAACTCAATAACTATATGCATTTATTTATTTTTCAACATAATCCATCCATCTTCCAAAACTTTGGCCAAAAACCAAAAAGATTTCTGGTGAGAGAAACAAATAAATCAAAAGACTTAAATTTGATGATCGACAAATGAAAGTGTTACCCCCAAGTCACAGGCTCCTCCAAGATTTGATCTTTTTCACGCAAGAAGATATGATTTGCCTCTCCCTTGGATCAGCAAACCGAGCATGATCTCAGATTTTCTTCTGGACAGTCGTCGTCTCGGTGACCGTCACGAACAATTTCCGGGAATCGGAATCTTGTTCGGGAGCCGAGGCTTTCGGCGTGAGCGCTTGTTTACTTTGTCCTCCCTGGTTGGAAAAACAAGAACAGAAAAGATTATTCTTTTATGAATCTTTATCTCTCTACTTCTTGTCTGATGCAGGACAAAGATTGTGTTTTTTCTTTCCGGGTTCCTTAATTTCTTGTACAGTCTATCGATGTCGAGACGTGGAATTGGACGAGACTGTATAGCTATATACTTACAGGTCCCTTTTGACCGGTTAATCTCCGGCTCGACGGAGCCCGAGCTATCGAAGAGGCGGCCGCTGCAGCCGCCACGCGAATCCTGAAAGAGAAAACGAAAAATCGTAACAAAGGGTACGGACATCGACGAAGATTTAGCATATACACAACTCAGCAGAAGCAGTACCTTTTATGAACATCGACGTATTCATCTGTTTCATCCACAATCTCCTCCTGCATGGCCATGGATTTTTTTGTTTGTTTAATGCAATTCACTGTAAATAATGAAACTGTCAACAAATGTTATACCTGTAGAAGCTCCTCGAAAACGTCTTCCAACGTGATGATGCCGATAACTTCGCCATCTTCGATATCTTCCGAAGCATGTGATGGGTACCCGTTTGCTCCCGTCTCGTTGTTTTGCAAATGAGATTGTTTGTTGATCTTTTCGATATTGACAATGACGTCTTCCTTCGATAGCAAAGGTGTAGTCAATTGGGAATCGTCGGTTTGCGCATCGGTCTCCTCGGATTTCTCTTCAACCACCGTCGAGGGAGGAATTTTGGTCTTCCCCTTCACCTTCACAACTGCTGCCATGTGACTGCTTCCCTTTTGAAACTCATTCAGTATGTCGTATAGAGGCATATCAGCCGGAACCCTGTTGAATAATCGAAATATTATGAACTAGAATCACGTTGAATCGGGAGAAAAAAGGAGAAAGAACGAGAAAAATGTAATATATAGATGAAAACACCTCGGGATTCTTCGGATAGAAACTGCACTGACAGGAGTCTCAGTTTCAGGCCGAACTGTAAGAAGACTCTTAACCTAATGGAAATGGAAATTAAAATGCATGATTAACGTTACCCAAAGATACGATAAACAAACAATTAAACACGAGAAAAAAATACTATGAGTCGGGGGATTCAGCGCCTACCAACAGAAGCCCGATAACATTTTTTGGATTCCCGGTATAAACAGGAACTCGGCTATGACCTCGTGCTAGGATCTTCCCCATAGCTTCCCTAAGTGATTAGTTACAGGCAAAGCAGGATAAGATACAAGGATTCATTAACAAAGAAAAAAAAAACATGTTCAGAAGCTCACTCACCAATCCAACTTTGAATTGACATCTAAGGAAAACGTTGATTCGATCGGTGTCATGGCTTCCTGAGCAGTCTGTCAAAACAAAAATCCAACTGTTTCATGAATATTTCCCATAAAGATCGAGCCTTTACAAGGATCATGATCTCAAAACGTATGCAAAAGCCGAAACGACAGCAAGAAGTCACTATTCACACCAGATTCCAGTTATATAAATAAGTAAGCTGCCTCGGGAGAGCGAGTTTTATCTCATACATACCTTCTCTGTCAAATCCAGTGCTCCGCTTATGATTGTCGTCTCGTCATGTGTAAGTTCACCACCCTTTCCTGCCTAAAAATGAAAGTTTTCGCAACAAGGTATGTAAAAATTTGTAGCCTAAGACTTGGAATTTTCAAGGCGGAAAACGACATATAAGTATCACATTGTTCATGGTTTCTCCTCCTACCTCTTGGCCGTGAATGGATACAAGAGCTTTTAACTGAGCCCGCCTAAATAACGCTTCATTGTGCCCGAGAACCCAATCCAATATCTAACCAAAACATCAGAAACAGAGTAAAAAAACAAAAAAAAAAAAACAAGAAGAGAATCCCTGAATATGGAACTCATCATGTACACAAAAAGGGAAATAGTCTTTTTCTTTCTCTTCTTTAAGAAAAAGGGGAAGATTATTTGCAAAATACAGCAAAGAAAAAGCCCTCAATTCTATGGTTATTGGAGATCTTTTCATTGTTGTGTTCATAACTGCACAATTAGAATCTGAGGACAAGGACCGAGCTGAAAAGACAAACAAAAGATGTAGTTTAATTCTGTCCTCCACATCTCGTCCATTAGACTGATACGAATAACTTTCAAACAATTCCATGAATATGAATATGCATATGCATGAACAGCAACAAGCTATGCTACACGTTCAAGAGCCATGATACGATGCTTGATCAGACACGCTTTTAGATTTTACCTTTCCGATGGGATAAGCAATCGGATAGCAGATAGTCATCAAGATCCGGACAAGCCAGACAAAGTTGGCTCCGACAGCAAGCCCATACCTGGTGCATATGGCTTGAGGAATAACCTTAAAAGACAGAATCCATGACAGCCAAATCAGAGTGAAGCCAATAACAGACGTAAAGCTAGAACAGCAAAAAAAACCCGAGGTCGGAAAACATACTTCACCGAAGAATAGAACAAAAGTTACGGAGAGGATTATAGCTAGGTATTCATTGAATAGCTTATCCAAGTATATAGGAAGCCCCTGCAGATAACCATAATCATATAAGAAACCAAGCATGTCCCAATACAACCAGATATATCTTCTCATCTTAATCGCAATCCTTCAATTCGGAGAAAAATCGAAAGCTCCCTCCTTGTATAAAGATATGGAGATTCAAGTTTTTGACGTTACCTCCATTGCAGCAGCGTTGCAAAGGAGCAAGGTCACCAAAAGCTGATGCTGCTTTTGAACCACCGGAAGAATCGCAGCTGAATCATTGGCGAGAAATTTCCGCAACAAAAAACAAAAGGGTATCAAGAATTTTGAAAATCTTCAACCAAATCACGATCATCCGCACCTAAAGGGACCAAAACGACACAATTCTACGCGAAATTTTCAAAAATTAAGGAACACCCAGTTATCAAACTGATCTGGAAACGAGAAGAAAAGATGGATCACCCGCTTGTTTCTTCTCATTCGGCGTGCCGCTGCGTTGGAGGATCTCGAGGTCGACGAGACCGAGGGACATCAAACCCAGAGTGAGACCGGACATGATTCCGGCGAAGAGGACGAGAAAGCAAGAGACTCCAGCGTAGATGAACCACCACAACGATCCGAAGGGAATGGCCTCCCCGCCGGCGCTCGGTTGACCGACGACGGCCAACATCCTCGCCGCCGCCGCGGCATTTATTAGATGCATCATCGATCCGATTCAAAATTTCTTACAATTTCCTCAACTGGAGACGAGAATCGAGAAGACACAGATACGATTATTGTCGTTGTTACAACGTTGAGGATCTCTGTCTCCTCCGTGCATCCCTTTTGAGGATATTTGTTTTTTTCCCCTTAATTCGCTGGATCTCACCAACCTCCGTATCGGAATCAGACAAATTTGTAAAGAAATAAATTTATATAAAAAAAATATTTTATTTTAATCTCTGTTTTCCTGAAAACGTCAAAGCTAATCCACGTGTCCTTCGGAGTTGACCAATCCAGCTAATTAGTCACGTGGGCTTATGACCCAAAGAGTACAAGATATATTTCTGAGATTGGCTTTTGGGCCCACTAAAGGCCCATTCGAGTTTTGAGAACGGCCCACAATTAAACAACAAGGCCGCGAGGGAACGTTCAAAAAGACAAATTAATATATGCGATTATATTATTTTTTTTTGTTAATTAATATATGCGATTATATTGTATTTCGAAAATAGGTATTAGTCAATCGACAATTACCTGATATCACATTGTACGTTGTTCTTATTATAGACAAATGAAGAAGTTAATAGAATCACTAATCTCATAAATAAAATAACTTATAATATAACAAAAATTAAAACTATATAGGAAATATAGTAATATATGCTCCACGCACAAGTACTGTATAAAGATAAAATTGATGAGAATGAGATGCCCATTGGGATTCCACGCCGAAGGGATAGAACAGTATCCTCATCTTTAACCGACAAAGAGAAAGATATAATAAAAACAATTTGGAATATATAATTAATTAATTAATTATCTTCTTTTTGTGTTTTTGTGGAGAGAATGGGATTTTAAATAAACCAAATGAAGCTCGCTTTTGTAAAAGATGATTTTGACCACTTAATTTTTTTTTTTTTTACATATGAAAAAAAATAAGAATCAAAATTGGAATCATAAAAGGACAAAAAATAAAAGAAAAAGGAAAATTCAGCAGATGTTTGATTTTTTTTATTTTATTTTTTTGTTACGAGCATCGGTCTACCTAGGGATGGAGCTTTTAGGTTTAGCTTCGATTTTTTATTGCCGATAATTTTATTAATACACGACACTTTTTTTAGTGGAGAGATTTTTTTTTTCTTTCTAAGTTTCACAAAATAAACATATATACTTTAAATTTCAGGATTTTTTTTTCATTTATACACTAATTTTTTTCTATCCTTTAATTTTCCTATAAGTGTCGAGAATATGACTTATTATGGATTAAATCCAAAATTAGAAGGAAAAAAATAAGACTTTTAGTAATTCTCTTTCTTGGACCAATAAAATGCAAAAGCATAACGAACAAAGGAGGAGTTATTTTCCTGTAATTCCTTTAATTCTTTTTTTGGGAACAATATTCACCATTTTGCAAAAAAAAAAAAAAAAAGAAGAAGATATATTCCAAATTCGTTATGCCATTCTCACATTGGGAGAAAAATTTTATAAAAAAAAAACACAGAAGAGAATAATATTAACGAGCTAAGGGTATTTCAAATGAACAATCACAACCATCGATGCGTTATCGTTTTCTCTACTTTTGTCTATTCATTGCATAAATGTGGACCGCCTTAAACTTTATTTTTTTTTCTTTTTCTTCATTAGCATTTTGTTACATTTATCTATAAAATATTGCACGACTTGTCCCAAGTTCCGTATTCGAATCCGGGTGTGGGGAAAAGGGTATTACCATTATAATTGCGGTTACACAGATTATTTTTAGACCATAAAAAATATAGTTGGATCAAAAACTCGTAGAATTTATTAGATAACAAAAAAATATAAAATATATAAAATAAAAATTCTAAAAAAATTTAACTTTTTAATTTTGATAAAAAATACCAAATTTTTTTATTTTTTAAATAAAAATTAAACTTTTTAATTTGTCAAAAAAATAATTAACTTTTCTACTATTCTCAAAATAAATAAATGAACTTACATGATATAAAAAAATACAAACACGTCAAATTATTATAGTTAGTATATTTTTTACAATTATATATGGTTTATATATTTTTTAAATCATTTAAAAATTTAGTATTTTTTTGACGATCGCATAAAAGTTTATGTATTTTTTGGATCATTTTAAAAATTTAGTATTTTTTAAACTCATTTAAAATATTTAATATTTATTTGAAAAAAACAAAAGTTCGGTATTTTTCAGTCAAAATTGTAAAGTTTAAATGTTTTTTGGGATTTTTCTATATATATATATAAATAATAAATTAAATTAAATTAAAGAACTTGTTGTACGAAATGTCTTAAGTCCCATTATATACGGTTTATGCGACCCACCTCCCCCACACGCTTCCTCTCTCTGTACGGAAAAAACAAAATCCAAAAGCGTTGACTTGTCACTTCCATCCCCCTTAGCTGTACGGCTCCTTCCACTCTTCCATGTGTTGTTATTGGATGCTTCCCTTTGCCAACCCAAACAATATTCCTCGTGGAATTTTTCTAAATTTTCACGTATCTTATAATCTCTAAATCCGTGTATATATATATATATATATTTGATTTGGTGACCAAATATGATATGATAATTTGATATTTAGAAGAGTATTTGTGACTAGATTGATTCTATTTGCTCACGATGCCGATTAGCATTTTCATTTGTCTATATGTCTTCAACCAAATTTAATACATCATATTTTTATGCTTTTATTTCTATTTTTTCCGTTATGCTATGATTGGAGGTTTTCCTTTTTTGGGAATATGAGTATATAGGTAGTATCTACAAGATATTAGATATAACAAGATGTATGTATATATATGTATATATATAAGATCTACGTATAAAGTGACGTTACAAAAAAAAACACATTAAAAAGTGACGAGAATAGAAATTGTAACATATATATATATATATATATATATATATATATATCAAATTTTGAATTAAAGATTACATCGTCTTTGTTTTTACGTGATGAAAAGAAACTCGATCGAGTTTTGTCGAGAACTTGGTTTATATATATATATAGGAAATATACAAGTGAATACAAATATACAAAAAAAGGGCGCCACACCGAAAGATATACACGTATTCTTGATTATCACACCGTAATAAGTTGTGTAATCATTTACAATATTTTATTAAACCCTTTCTTATCATCACAAGTCCATCTATATCATATTGTGGGCCCTACTCTCCCCACATGCGCCGCCGGGGAAAGGGTACTTTCCGGCAACACCACGGTGGTCAAAGGGTTCTCCTCGGGCAGAAGAAACTTGTTAATAATCCTCGTACTTGGTCTCGCCACTAGATTCTCCCAAGCCTCGTCAGCGTCGTTCCCATGTCTTAGGAACACTTCGGTGGCATCAATACGATGCATGCACGAGTTCCAGTTCTTGTACAACCTGTGAATCTTCTGTAGCTGCCGACAAGCTAAGATCTCTGTGTTCTGTTTTATGTTCTTGACCGCTAGATCAAGCATCTTCCTCTGCGTTCCACGGTCAACAAGAGATTCCATACGTAAGTATTGGTCAAGCTCAGGGACCCCGATGGCACGGCGTATTCCTACCGAATAATCTGCTTTCGGGTCGTACATTTTCCTAACTTCTTGGACCAAACCCGCCTCCATCATCCGATCAACACGTCTCGATATAAACGAGTTGAGTACGGGTAAAGAAACATCGACCCAGATGAAGCAACATTGGTAGTTTCGCAAGAACTCAGTGGATTGAGACACAAGAGCTTCGATGTACGAGTTTGACCCGCCTGCTACGATCGGAAGCTTGTCCTTGGCGACAATGGAGGAGATTACTTGCGATGCAAGGCAGCGGAAATCGAAGGAAGTGAAGCTTGCGTTAGGGTCTATTATTCCCAACATGTGGTGCATTCTTGTGGAGTGACTTTGTTGGTCGCGACATGGAGGCCCTCGTGGAGTTGGATCTTGTCGGAATTGATGATTTCTGCCGGAAAACGAGTGGCGAGATCGACGGCAAGGCGGGATTTGCCGGTGCCGGTGGCTCCCATGACGAAGACGACTTTGTCTTTGGGACGGAGAAATGGAACGTCGATGCCGAATTTGCCCTTGAAGCTCAAGATTGGTTGCACTTGCTTGAGAGAAGAAAGTGAGAATTTCATTGCGATTATACCGAAATCTCTTCAAGAATTGAAGAAAAAATATTAATGTTTTGGAAAAATATCTTCTCGGACCACAACTTGATGTGTGTATATGCGGCGAGTAGTGTGTCCAAACACTTTGTTTCTTTTGTGATCTTATGTATGCGGAGAAAGACTGAAAGACGTATATATAGAAAGAAAGCAGAATCAGAGAGAGAGAGAGAGAGAGAGAGAGAGAGAGAGAGAGAGAGAGAGAGAGAGAGAATAAAAATTTGGGGATGAAATGATGAGCAGAGAAGAAATGCTGAGTATAATTTTCTATGTATAACGGACCTATATATACACATCTTTTGTGATAGCCATATGCTATAATATATATATATATAGATGTGTATTGAGAGAGAGATGATGTGTGTATATAATAGAATATTAAGCACTTGTGGGAGAAGATTATTGAGTTTTTGTTCTTTTTATATTTTCGGTGGACTATGTACACGTCCAACCATTATGAAAAATACCATTACTTTGCTATTTTGATTTCAAGGTATACCCTTCTTCACCTATAATCACATATGACCAAGATTAAATTTCTGGTCACATGGATCACATGGTCACAGTTGGAGAAGGGTATGTCTTGAAATAAAAATAGCAAATGGAGGGTATTTTTGATATAATGCCCTCTTGTTCTGATTTTTCTAATGCATAATTAGTAACATGGGATAAATAGTTGAGTGAAATTAAATTTTTTAATAGTTAATTAAACTCAAATCATTTAGTTATGTGAATTCAAACTTTATAAATTCATTTTTTTATTTTATTAACTATTTCAAATTTCCAAACTTAGTTTTTAAACATTTATAAACTACTCTTGAAATTTATTAAACTCATATTTAAACACCATAAATCTATTCTAATTTTTAACCTTTTTTCAAAATTCAATTGGTTACTATTCACTATGTTGTTTAATTATTTAACGATGCCCATGAAAATATTAGTGTATTATAACTTTTAGGTAGATATGAAAACGAATTAATAACAAATTGAAAAAATATGAAAGATGA